ACATTTAGGGGAAAACGAAGTGTGGAGAATGTAAGTGTGATGGTGTAGCGCTGAGACAGACGCCGTAGCATCTTTGTAACGGTCTGTAAATGTCTTCGACTGGACCTTGGGACAGTCCTCCTGTTCTTGTCCGAGCAGCTAAAATCCTGGATCAAAGTCCTCGGTCTTCTTTGGTGGATTGTTCATGTGCCTCTCATTTGCCCGGAGAATGCTTCCTCCATGCTTTCTAAACAAGTCTGTGCTCCAATTCATCCCACAGATGTTCTGCTGGGTCAAAGTCAGGACTCTTTGTAGGCCAGTCAGGTTCTTCCTGTGCACACGTTCATGTTGGGAGCAGGAAATCGTCCCAAATGTCTTTGTATTTGGAAGCATTAACAATTCCTCTCACCAGAACTAAGTAGCTGAGCCCAACCTCTAAAGAACAGCCGCACTATCATCCCTCCACCACCAAAGTCAGACCAGTATCAGTCTCCTGATAACTGCCCAACCAGACTCCTCCATCTGCGAGACGGAGAAGCGTGAACACGACATTTTACAACTATGCTTGTTGCATCCGATCACGACACCGTCCAGGAACTTCCTGAGCTCCTGACAGCGTCCCACAGACTTTATAACCTGTGACTGACATGCCTGAAAACCATGATTCACTCTCTTCATGGTCAGGAGGGAGAGCAGGTGGTCTACTGGTCAGGAGGTTGCTGGTTCAGAACCAGTTATTTTGGCTACATAGTGCAGATGTTACCACAAAGTGTTGATGTAAAGTTTGGCCCACACAGCAGGGATACACACACACACACACACACACACACACACACACTACAGTCATTACAGTAAGATCAGTGACCTTGTACAAAAGCACTACCATTTATACACACAGTCTACACATATACATGCAAGTATGAGTGTGGGTCTCACCACAGCCAGGCACAGTGATGCTTGTACTGCAGCTCCTGTGGATCCTCTTTGCCTTGTTTCTGGAGCATCTCTAACTCAGCACGTCGACCCTGCCAACAAAACCAAACCCTGAGAGGCCTTTACTGTAAGGTCAGAGGCCTCTACTGTACGATCAGAGACTTTACTGTAAGGTCAGAGGCCTCTACTGTACGATCAGAGACTTTACTGTAAGGTCAGAGACCTTTACTGTAAGGTCAGAGGCCTTTACTGTAAGGTCAGAGGCCTCTGAGGCCTTTACTGTAAGGTCAGAGACTTTACTGTACGGTCAGAGACTTTACTGTACGGTCAGAGGCCTTACTGTAAGGTCAGACCTTTACTGTACGTTCAGAGACTTTACTGTAAGGTCAGAGACCTCTGAGGCCTTTACTGTAAGGTCAGAGACTTTACTGTAAGGTCAGAGACTTTACTGTAAGGTCAGAGACTTTACTGTAAGGTCAGAGGCCTTTACTGTAAGGTCAGAGGCCTCTGAGGCCTTTACTGTAAGGTCAGAGACTTTACTGTACGGTCAGAGACTTTACTGTAGGTCAGAGGCCTCTGAGGCCTTTACTGTAAGGTCAGAGACTTTACTGTACGGTCAGAGACTTTACTGTACGGTCAGAGACTTTACTGTAAGGTCAGAGGCCTTTACTGTAAGGTCAGAGGCCTCTGAGGCCTTTACTGTAAGGTCAGAGACTTTACTGTACGGTCAGAGACTTTACTGTAGGTCAGAGGCCTTTACTGTAAGGTCAGAGGCCTCTGAGGCCTTTACTGTAAGGTCAGAGACTTTACTGTAAGGTCAGAGACTTTACTGTAAGGTCAGAGGCCTTTACTGTAAGGTCAGAGGCCTCTGAGGCCTTTACTGTAAGGTCAGAGACTTTACTGTAGGTCAGAGACTTTACTGTAAGGTCAGACAGAGCCTTTACTGTAAGGTCAGAGGCCTCTGAGGCCTTTACTGTAAGGTCAGAGGCCTCTGAGGCCTTTACTGTAAGGTCAGAGACTTTACTGTACGGTCAAGAGACTTTACTGTAAGGTCAGAGGACTTTACTGTACGGTCAGAGACCTTTACTGTAAGGTCAGAGGCCTTTACTGTAAGGTCAGAGGCCTCTGAGGCCTTTACTGTAAGGTCAGAGACTTTACTGTAGGTCAGAGGCCTCTGAGGCCTTTACTGTAAGGTCAGAGGCCTTTACTGTAAGGTAGGCCTTTACTGTAAGGTCAGAGACCTTTACTGTACGGTCAGAGACTTTACTGTACGGTCAGAGGCCTCTGAGGCCTTTACTGTAAGGTCAGAGACTTTACTGTAAGGTCAGAGACTTTACTGTACGGTCAGAGGCCTTTACTGTAAGGTCAGAGGCCTGAACTGATCAGAGACTTTACTGTAAGGTCAGAGGCCTCTGAGGCCTTTACTGTAAGGTCAGAGACTTTACTGTACGGTCAGAGACTTTACTGTACGGTCAGAGGCCTCTGAGGCCTTTACTGTAAGGTCAGAGACTTTACTGTAAGGTCAGAGACTTTACTGTACGGTCAGAGGCCTTTACTGTAAGGTCAGAGGGAGACCTTTACTGTAAGGTCAGAGACTTTACTGTACGGTCAGAGACCTCTGAGGCCTTTACTGTAAGGTCAGAGACCTTTACTGTCTTTACTGTACGGTCAGAGACTTTACTGTACGGTCAGAGACCTCTGAGGCCTTTACTGTAAGGTCAGAGACCTTTACTGTACGGTCAGAGACTTTACTGTACGGTCAGAGGCCTCTGAGGCCTTTACTGTAAGGTCAGAGGCCTTTACTGTAAGGTCAGAGACCTTTACTGTACGGTCAGAGACTTTACTGTACGGTCAGAGGCCTCTGAGGCCTTTACTGTAAGGTCAGAGACTTTACTGTACGGTCAGAGACTTTACTGTACGGTCAGAGGCCTTTACTGTAAGGTCAGAGGCCTCTGAGGCCTTTACTGTAAGGTCAGAGACTTTACTGTAAGGTCAGAGACTTTACTGTACGGTCAGAGGCCTTTACTGTAAGGTCAGAGGCCTCTGAGCCTTTACTGTAAGGTCAGAGACCTTTACTGTGAGGTCAGAGGCGCCTTTACTGTAGGTCAGAGACCTTTACTGTAGGTCAGAGGCCTCTGAGGCCTTTACTGTAAGGTCAGAGGCCTTTACTGTAAGGTCAGAGACTTTACTGTAAGGTCAGAGACCTTTACTGTAAGGTCAGAGACCTTTACTGTAAGGTCAGAGGCCTCTGAGGCCTTTACTGTATGCTTTTGTAACACCTGCACAAACCTCCATAACGGCGTAGAAAGCTCGGCTCATGAAGCCCCTCCAGGCCTGTGGCAGCAGGAGGGCACGGTGCCACTCAGAGGGCTGGATGTTGACCTGTGCACCAAAATACAGAGGAAGGAAACAGTTCCTCTTTCAAGCTCTGCGTACACGACAAAGAACAAGCGTGAAAGCAATGGAAGGAGACATCACGTACTTCATGAACGAGGGCTGTCAGCGTCTGCTGGTAGCTGCGGCTGCGGCTGACCAGGAAGCGGCTGATGGGTCTCCCAGCACGATCGGTCTGCACAGACAAACTGTACGACAGGAGCAGCCCAGCTGCACCACAGACAGAAAGGCTGAGTTATACTGGTGCTTCCAACAGTAACGTGTTGGTACACAGACACACTGTTCAGCACGCGTGGGTTTGAGATCTCCACCATGTCCTGGCTTCATGAAAACCACACAGATTAAATCTGCAGATTATCTTCATGTTCCAAACCTCTCCTCAGAAAGACGTCCCTTCCTGTAGCTGCACATATTCTCCCTTCCTCACCAACTTAAGAAACATAACTTTGATATGCTGACTGACAGATCTGACCCATGTGAAAGGCAAAGCAGCTGACATGTTCATAGTCACATTCAACGACACCACACAGTCGATGTCACTGAGACCAGCTAAATGAGCTGTTACTGGGTCACCTGCTAGTCCTGGCTTCAGCCCAGGCTGCTTGTTTTTCTCGTAGGTCTTGAGCATGAACGACGGGATTCCTGCCACCGTTTTACCCCGGTCTGAGCGGAGGTTACCCCCCCTCAGGGCTGAGAAGTAGATTCCCCGTGGCATCTGACTCATCTCCTGCCTCACCAGTGACGTCAGGAAGAGCTCGAAGGCTGGGAACATAAAAGAAACACCATCAGTGCATGATCATCAGCATTACTCAGGATCACATGCAGATGTGACAGATCCACGATCTCTCCAGGGAACCAGCAGGAAACACCAAACACCTGGTGTCTGTTTCTGTGCAGGTATGCTCAAACAGCTCAAACAGCTGTGATGTGGATGGTTGTGAACAGTTGTGCTAAACAAAATGTTTTAAATCATGTAGCATACATGTGTTCCTAAAGTATCTTAGCGGTCCCAGGACTGCACTCTCCTGGATCCTGCTTTCAGGGTTACAGCCTCCAACGCTCCTGCTGCCACTAAGACCACTTTATTCTTGACCTCTCCAGTCCCTGCTACTCTGGAAGCTGAAGCACCCCCGGCCCTTAGCCCTACTACCGGGTCGACGGGGCTTCTAGTCCATATGTGGCGCGGCTGTTTCTATACACTACAGCTTCCTGGTTGTGCTTTGAGTTTATGCTATCCCAGCTTGCATCTTACATCCTGCTACTACGTGGTGGAAAATGTCCGTAGCACCTTTGCACAGTCTGCAGCCGTGGTAGACTCCCTCCTACCACAGCTCTAAGGATCTGGATCTTTCTACCAGTCATCTGGCTTCTCAGCATCTGTTTTAGCATCTGCAAGGATGTGGCTCTGACTGATCTTCATCCTGCTGGCCTCACCAGGTGGATCTCACTGACTCCTCCCACACAGCTTGATGTCATCCATCTACAGGATGACATTTGATGACATCACCTCTTAGTGATGAGGCTTTGGGGATTGAAGCCTGTGCAGACAGAAGCAGGGACGTTGCCTTTGTACACTGCACACTCCAGTACTGTCTTCCACAGGTCCTGATGAATATTATCAGTGCGCTGAAGCACAGTAACAAGCAGGTCAGTGTGCATGAGTGGGGCATGGAGTCAGGCTGGTCTGCCTAGTCTCAAGTATTTTTATACTGTCAGAATGACATGATAGCAACGAACCAGGAGCCTGAGCTTGTGTTGTCTCTAATGCCTTTCAGAGTGGTGTACTGGCTCATGTGCCTCCACAGCTTCACAGAGCAGCTCCTGTGTTGTGGAGAGGCGAGTAATCGGGCCGTGGTTTGATGGTTCTGTCCTGTGTTCGTGCCTTTAGCATTCCCCATATCTATAGACCGCTGATCACCGAACGCTTCTTCCAACAGTAGACGTGGATTATGTCGGGTCCCGCTGTGGTCCCCAGACTCATTGTTGGATGTCTGCTTTGTGATGTCGACTGCCTCTTGCTCTCTCTCGTGTGCTGGATGGATCTCTAGAAGCACTTTATTCTGTCGGGACCACAGGATACAACCTGTTGGTTTGTTGGCTGCTCCGGTTTACCTGGAAGAACAGACGAGGTGGTGAGAGTCATCAGCTTCACATAAGATGAGCCTGGGACGGAGAGATCCTTCTCCTCTTCCTCCTTTTCTTTACTCTGTTCATCTTCTTCGTTTTCAGGCAGCTTTGCAGGTGGTCGGGCCTTCAACCAAAGAGAAGAGCAGAGCAGGACGATTCAAACAGAGAGCTGACACACGGCGGCGTACAGGAATGTTTCTGAACACGCTAAAACAACTGAAACAGCTTCCTCATTAACTAGTGCCGCATAAGTACATCTGACTAACGTCTGAGGACAATTAATAACGAAACATTGCAAAATGATCTGGCTAATATGTTAGAAAGCACGAGTCAGACAACAACAGAACTGTTATGATGTTGTTATGAGAGTGGAGCAGGACTCTTAACTGCCTCAGGAAGGTGGTTTATGGTGTGGTCTGTTTCAGGAAAGTCTGCCAAAGCCCTGTAGCCACAGCTGGACACCTCTGGATCCTGTTACAACACAAAGGTGCAGACACATGTTTCTGTCTCCTACAAAATGATGAAACTTATGCAACATCACAGCATGTTTGTGCATGTAGGAGTCATCATGTCAGCTGTGTGTGTAGATACAGTATATACAGACCTCGCTCAGAGCATAAGTCCACAGAATGCTGACCACCTCTTCTTTTAATTTCTAAGAGCAGAGACAAAAAATAAGAAGTGAATTTAATGCACATACAACACACACACACACACACACACACACACAGACACACACAACACAACAGAATACGCACACACACAATAACACTGCAACACACCCAACCACACAGCAGTAGAATCAAGAGTTTTCCAACCCTTTTCTTATGTTTTCTGCAGACTTTCATTCAGCCAAATCACTGCACTGACCTAAAGCACGATCTGCACGACATTTCCTTTAAACAGAGTGAAGGTGGACGCTGCTCTTAATATACACGAAACCCAGAGTTAGCTTTCATGTATATGAAAGAGTTGCTGCTGTGCTCTGGATCTTTGGCATTTTGCATTAACCGATTTTCACTAAGCTTAAGTTCACACAGCAGAGAAGTTTGTGTCTGACTCAGTGACTGCAAGGTGCTGCGCAGGTCCTGTGGCTGCAACCCAAAAGCATCCCTATCAGCCGTCCTGTGCTAATATGTATGTTTGGTTTTGGCCTTTGGTCTTGTGTTTGTTTAGATGCAACTTTGCAAACCTAAGCTGTACTGCCATATCATTGTTAGAGAGGAGGAAAGCTTTCCAACAAGCAGCACTGCATGGTCTAGGACTCATCTGCTGGGACGGCCACTGCTGCACTGTGTTGAATCCTCCAGAGCAACAAATGACCAAAACTTCTGTTTTTAAAAAGATGCTCACACTCGCTGATCCATTTATTAGTTACTGTGAAGTCCGACCACAGCAGCACTCTGAGGACTGGACCCTCACACGTCTGTACTTTGTGCTTCTACCCAGCTTTACATTGATGTGCTAACTTTAGCTACCAAACACAGTGATGTAGAGATGTGACTCTACAGTGAGGTTATACAAACAGCTGGTGAGAGTCCTGTTTACAGACAGAACCACAGAGAAAAACACAACCTGGTGGAGTTCCTGTGTCGCTCTGTTAGCTCCTCAACACAGAGCAACATGAACGTTACGACGCACCTCGTACTGCTCTGATTTAACTGTGAGCTGAGGCACCAGAGCCAAAAGCTCAGCGATGGCTTGAACCACCTCTGGCTGTGAGTGACAGCTGAGCTCAGGCCAAACAGTTCTCCATGCTGAGATAATATCCACCACCTGAGAAAGAAAGATTGGTTTTAAGACCAGAACTTTGGAAAAGATTCAAAAGTTATAATCCAGAAAAATGATGATTCCTGAATTTAAAGAGACAAATGGAGACAGGCGAGGTACCTCTGCTCGACACAGCTGCTGTAGTCCCTGCAGGACGAGAGCAGCCGGGGTTGCCAGGTCTGGTCTGTTGCACTGTTTTAAAGTGAGTGAAATGGCAGCCACCATGTCCCCTGCATGCTGGTAAGGCCTGGTTAACACACACATCAGCGTGAACAAAGTGGGAAATGTGTTTCTTCTAATTTTGTTACCATTTTTATTTAAGAAAAAAGCATTAAAAGTGCCAGGACACGTGTAAGTAAGTAAATGCCAAACACAGCTTCTTATCATTGCAAACTCTTATGGCTGCAAATGTTTTACAATAAAAGCAAACGTAAGCATTTGTGAAAACAACAAAACAGCTCAATGATTTGCTAAATTTGTACTGTAGCATCCATCCAGAGGGTTTCCCAGGTTTTCACTAATGCTGCTAAAAAAGCTGCATGTACATGTTAGCAGGTGTAACAGGCCCCGGGAGGATGGACAGTGTGCACCAGCTGGTTAGAACAAAGGAAATAATCAAATAAAATCATCGTTTTATTTCATCAACACACATAAAGGCCAGTTCACAAAAACTGACAAGCATTAGCTAGCAGCTAACATGTAAAGGACGTGTGCAGGAGCCTGGATGCAGTTTGTGGAGTTTATATGATCAACATAGTTTTTGGGTTAAAGGTTAAAAGTATAAAGTTATGGCTCACTTGCTTAGAGTTGTATTATATGGGAAGCAGTGCTTACAGACTGACATAGTTTGATTTCTTTTGCTTCAAATGTATGCTTTTATTTTGATAGTCTGGCAGAGACAGGAAGTTAGCTGCCTCTCAGTCTCTCTGTTTGAACTGAACTTTGTAAGACTTTGATCCTTCTGGATTCAGGCACGTGTAGCTGCTCTGGACATTTGTACGGAAACATTTAAAACTGGACTCCTGCTGATTTTTGGAGAAACAGGGACTCAGTGGAGCGTCGAGCTGAGGCTTCATTCACTGCAAAGCTACAAAGTGCATTCATTTATCTTAACAAGCAAAGTTGATGTGACTGAAAAAACAAATATTTCTATGTTTCTGAACTTTCATCAGCTTGCTGAGCAGAAACATCTATGAAGAGTCCAGTCAGTGATTATTACTCATTAGAAGGGAAGATGAAGAATCCTGGTGTTGGAAGCTCACACTGTCTGCACTGTGCATGCAAAGTCCACTGAATGAATGAACCAGTGAATGTAGGAAGTGCCCACTGTTTCTGTAAGTATGGGAGGACCCACCTCTCTCTGCAGATGTCCCTGACACAGGCGGCCCTGGCCAGGATCTGCTCCCACTGGGCGTCCCTCCCCAGCACCACCCTGCTGTCCTGCTGGCTCATTAGACGCTGCAGCTCTGGGTAGACCCGGTCCTTACAGACATGACCAAAGCAGCACACAATCAAAGACAAACAGAAGCTTTGAACACATGAATATGACATTTATAGTAATGCGTTATTATTGCAAACCTGTTTTTTCCACAGAGCGGTCATGAGGCGCAGTCCCACTGCTCTCAGCTTGGGGGAGCCGGCCAGCATGTGCAGACTGTGCAGCACGATCGGGAAGCAAAGCTGGAATATTACAGCACATATGATCAGAGCCAAGTTTACAAGAGAAACACACGGTTACAGCTGAAGAAGGCAGATGTTAGACGATGACTGCTGGTTTGGAGAGTCCAGCTCACTGACAGAGTGCTTTATACTACAGAGCACTGCATCTATCCCACACAGAGGCTGCTGTGGTGGAGTCCAATCCCAGCTCCTACAAACTGGGTACAAGAACCACTGTCTGTGTTCACACAGAGAAAACTGTGTGGAAGACGTGGGAATTTCTCTTTGCTCCTTTGTCAAAGTGCTAAACATCGAGAGGGGAACATTGTGCTCACAGGCTGGTATTTGGGACACACGGGTTCCTGGTTTTTAAACTCTAGAAGCCTCCTGGATGAAGAGAAGCTCCTCAGACTACATGACCTGGATGACCCCACAGATAAAAGCTCACATGTGTGTATGATGGACTAAAACACACTGTGAGCGCTCAGATGAAGTAGAAAGGTGCTGCTGATGTTCCAGCCCCGTCTCCAGACGCTCACAGTCAGTACAGGCTCTTCTTAGTCGTGCTGCGTACCTTATGAGTGCCGAGGTTTGGCAGGCTTGTGAGAACAGCGTGAGCCAGGACGGGATTCTTTTCTTTGGTCAGTTTGAACAAAAGAAGCAGCACGAGGGGCGGGACCTGCAGAGGGAAACACCCACATCAGCAAACACACCAACCAAACATTAAATGCACTTTGTCAGACCGTACAGAGGCTGCATCACTGACCTGTACGTGCACACGTTTAATGCTGTCGAGCCAAAAACATCACTTTGAATCAACATCACTGCAGTAAATCATCATTAAGGTTTCATAGTGGTTAGCTTCTGGCTTTTCCTGTAACAAAGACCTGCTGCTGCACGTTTAACATGACAAGTACGAGCGAGCAGAGATCTCCAGAGGACTCAAATATGCCAACAACCTTCAACCAGTGCATCCAAACACCAGTGTGTGCAGCACTCTGGGAGCAATTAGAGCAGAAGGTGAATCCTCTGGGGCCCGGTGCACGCTTGAGTAATGAGGGGTAAACTTCACACTTCATCTGCAGCTAGTGACTCCAACACAAGTCCAGAGGGAGGTCTGTCCCCTTAGAGCACTCCCTAACCTCTCCCTTTATACGGCAGCAGATCAGCAGCAATCACACAGTGACAGCTTTTATCTTCCTGCTGATCTGAACCATTTCAAAGTCATGTGTTGGTGCCAAAACACCAGGTTATCAACATGTGTTTCCTGCTCTTAGAAAGACAAACACAAGCTAGCTCCCTTACATACAACATATCTACATGTCAGAGGGAACAACATGCATTACTTTATATTCAGTCCACAGATTTAAGAGAACAGTTGTGTGGGTCATCTACCTGGCAGGGGTCGGCAGCAGCGACAGCCTGGCTTGCTTTCAAAGCCAGCTGGCAGATGTTTTCCTGACCCATGATGATGAGATAAGTCACAATCAGGACAAGAGAGGAGGACAGGCGCTGGCTGGACGACAGGGCGGAGCTGACCGCCAACAGCCAATCGGCCGCTGCTGCTGGATTGTTGGCCACTTTGCGCAGTACCGACAAAGACACGCTGAGCTCACTATACCAGGAACTCAGAGACAGAGGCAGTGATGGGGCAGGCTGAGGGAGACAGATTCACGAGAAACAAATGATAAAGAACAAAGAGCAAAGCTACAGATGCACCATGAATGTTAATGAAGTGTAATTTAAGGATCAAGCAAAGCATCCCAGAGGAACAACACTCCAGAGCCTGGATGCTGACCCTGAAGAAGAGGCAGTAAAGACAGCCCTGTTGCTATGACACTGAGAGGGAAACAGTATTTTTGGATGGATGTCGTCTATGCTCTAATGCTCTGTCCACTCACCACCTAACACCTACCTGCACTATTGTAACAGTGTTTCTTTACGTGGCTACACCTCACAGAAAGACTCAAAAACTGAATGTGAGAAACAGGCCTGGGGCTAACTGCTAGGCTACCTGCTGGGTTACCTGTTGGGCTACCTGCTGGGCTACCTGTTGGGCTACCTGCTGGGTTACCTGCTGGGTTAGCTGCTGGGTACCTGTTAGGCTACCTGCTGGGTTACCTGTTGGGCTACCTGCTGGGTTACCTGTTGGGTTACCTGTTGGGTTACCTGCTGGCTACCTGTTGGGTTACCTGCTGGGCTACCTGCTGGTTACCTGTGGCTACCTGCTAGGCTACCTGTTGGCTACCTGCTAGGTTACCTGCTGGGTTACCTGTTGGGTTACCTGCTGGGTTACCTGTGGCTACCTGCTTGGCTACCTGCTGGGTTACCTGTTGGGCTACCTGCTAGTCTACCTGCTAGGCTACCTGTTGGATTACCTGCTAGGCTACCTGATGGGTTACCTGTTGGGCTACCTGTGGTTACCTGCTGGCTACCTGTTGGGCTACCTGCTAGGTACCTGTTGGGTTACCTGCTGGGCTACCTGGTCTGCTAGGCTACCTGCTAGGCTACCTGTTGGGTTACCTGCTGGGCTACCTGTTGGGTCACCTGTGTTACCTGCTGGGCTACCTGTTGGGTCACCTGCTGTATGGTCACCTGTATGGTTACCTGTATGGTTACCTGTGGGCTACCTGCAGTCTACCTGCTAGGCTACCTGTTGGGTTACCTGCTGGGCTACCTGTTGGGTCACCTGTATGGTTACCTGCTGGGCTACCTGCTGGGGTTTATCTGCAGGCCTGCTAACTCTGCGCAGCAGGCTGTGAGCCAGCCTGTGGTTGGTGCTGTGTGTATTCTGGTCAGACAGCGGCTCAGTGAGACCCAAGCAGGACAGGAGCTGCAACACGGGGAGAATCAGGACCGGACTCAACCAGGGCGACGCCTCCGCTTGTTCAGGGACCAAACTCAGTGCTGTGTTAGGAGAAAGAATATCTCATGTAGGACACAAAGCTCTGTGAGGTTCCAACCATGACCTGCACACACAACCTAGTTTTGTTCCCACTAATTCTTTCACTGCTTCAACGTCTCTTAAAGGAAGCTAAAGCCAGCAGAGCTTTGTCCAAAATAATCACTTTACCAAGTCTGAGAAGGCTGGTCAGCTGATCTGAAGGGGCTTCCAACAAGAGCAAGGCCACGCCCATCACCAGCTCATCCAACAGCAACTCCTACAGAAAACAAACAGCGATGCCAACAGGTCAATACAGGCTCCAGGCCACAGAGGCCCGAGGGCTCACACATTACAGCACTGACTGGTTCACAATGGGGGACATTTGACCCACATGTGTAAACCTCTATAGGCCAGAAGGCATCTTGTTCCATGTACTGACATCACCAGCAGACTGACAGCTAATAAATAAGTCAGCATGTTTGGTTTGTAAGCGTGGATCGATGGTTTCCTCTCAGAGAGGCTCCCACTGCAGGATGATGTTAATAAGGTGAAACGTGTAAACAGAATCGCTCCCAGCATGGAGACAGTGTGTGAAGAAGACTCTGTATTTACATGAACCAATCACCACTGCAGAGCAGTTCATTTAATCCCCACGTAAGAAGATCTGTATAACCGTCACTACAGCTGTTTCTGTGATGAAGAGTTTCAGTCAGCTTTAATCAGCTGTTTGGATGAGAAGCAGCGCAGAGACCAACAAGTGCTCAGCATCACTGGGAACAAACCACTTCAGGTGACCCATCATGGAGCTCATCCAGAGGATCAGAGCAGCGATCAAAGCAAAGGGTGACGAATCTAAAACATGTGCTGAGTTACTTCCTTCCACACGTGTTCATAGTTCTGATGGCTTCAGTGAGATTCAGTCTAAACTAATTTTTCACACTAATTCTGGTCACGCAGCGTCTCCAACAGCTTTCTTTCATGTGACTGTAGCCTGAGGGTGCACAGCCTGACCTCATCACACAAGTTAGTGTAAACAAACCCAAAATGAGCAGAGACTGTAGTGCAGGGCGTCACAGGTCACATATACTTCTATCAGAGATCATTCACGTGTCGGTTATTAACAGTACGTAGGAGCCGAATCTTCAACCTGCTGAGAAGCCATGTAGGAGGGGCGGGACTGTATTTTAATGGGCACACCATGCAGCCAATCACACGCAGAGTGTCTGGGATCATACCATTATGTGACAGAAAGAAGGCCAGGTCCACAGAGAGACGGGCAGCGTGAGCGCGCTAAAGTGAGACCCGCTTTGATTTTCAGCCATCGTGGAGGACCAAAGGTTTCACACCTGTTCAGGCCTCAAACTCAGGTGTGCTCTCCCTGGTAGCAACAAGGCTGAAAACACTGAACCAAACAATGCTACATTTCTACAAAGTGTCTTTGAGTGTCAGATATTCACACGTGTGCATGTCCACGTCAGCTCGCTGCAGTGAGTGAAGAAGCTGATAAGCATTAATGCCAAATAACCCAGTGCTGGGCGTCCAGGCTCAGGTTTGGAGCAGAGACATTTGCACACGTAAAACAAAAAGCATCCCTTTTGTTTGCTTATATTTAGGCTCGCTCACGTTAACCAGCACAGCAGCGCGGCTTCTTTATCTTTGCTGGTGTCTGTTTACAAACAGCCATCACCTGACAGGCTGGAACCAGCTGCTGTATTAAGCCGATTATTGGTCTGCAGTCTCCGTTGAACTCGAGGCATCGCCGACACGCACACAGCAGCTGCAGAGCCAGCGCCGCTTTCTCTGGTTTCCACTGGTCTCCAGAGGTCCCAGTTAGATCTTGGAGCAGAGCGCCCACAAATGCACACAGCTCCAGGACTGCCTCCACGCTGTCCACCTGCAGGACAGAGAGGAGAGGCTGACATAGCTGCATCCTGCTCTCTGTGTTAGTCACTTCCTGTCAATCTGAGCGTATGCAAATAAGAGAGACACATTTAAAGGATGGTGGGCTGTAACATACAGAGTGGAAACATGTCGGCCGTGTCTTTGTACAGTTACCTAACATAACTTCAGCTTGTTACCTGCATGTGTGGAACCAGCTGACAAAGACAGAGCAGCAGCCTGTCAGACACTGGGGACAGCGTTTCCTGCTCCTTGTCCTGGGGGGCGGACCTGGATCCTCCCTGAATGGGCAGCAGCACCCTAAGAAGACTCTGTCGAAGGAGCGCGTGCTCGGGTTGCCTGTGAGGTTGGCAGTATAGGTACCGAAGGAAGGGGGCCAGCATGGTGATATAAGCCTCTTTATCTCTGTAACGCACACACACTGGAGTCAGAAGAACCTCTGAAAATACATCATCTCATAATGTCCAGTTGTCTTCAAAGACAACAACATAACAGGCTACGACAGGAGCCAGTAAGACTTACCTGTCAACAGCTCTCTGGATAAAGTCATCGATCTCGAACAGCAGAGCCGGCCAGCAGTCCTCTCTGTTCTCCAGGGCTGTGACGTACGGGTGAGGGCTGCTCCTGCAATGGACGGGTCAGTGTCCCAGCTCTGATTCCAGTTATGCTCCCAACAAGCCACTGAGTCAGTCTATTACAACGAAGACAAACTAAGAAGGCCTAAATCCACCCAGACCTGTCGCCTTCCTTCTCTCACCCCAACCAATCACAGCAGATGGCCCCGCCCCTCCCTGAGCCTGGTTCTGCCGGAGGTTTCTTCCTGTTAAAAGGGAGTTTTTCCTTCCCACTGTCGCCAAAGTGCTGCTCATAGGGGGTCATATGATTGTTGGGTTTTTCTCTGTATCTATTATTATAGGATCTACTGTACAATATAAAGCGCCTTGAGGCGACTGTTGTTGTGATTTGGTGCTGTTGGTTTTTCTCAGTTTAAACATGTGATTACATTTAATCTGTAAATCACCCTGTTTCACTTACATGTGAGACGCCGTCCTGATGTTTTGGGAGTTACGGTTGTAAATAGCCTAAAGTGCTGATGTGCACCACTGCTTTAACAGACACTGGTCACCCTCTTCATCACGTTCTTCATCTTTGTAATGTATTTTTCTCATGTTTCTGACACAGGGCCAGAGATCAGCTGGCAGATGTCATCAAAGCTGCTACAAAGTGAGTCCCCTGGTCGCTCTGCTTCATAGGAAACGTTTGGTGAGCTGTGCAGAGTAACCTGATGCGAGCACTGTGAAATGACTTTCTGTGGATCGTTTCAGGGACAGTCCTGTTGTTCAGGGAAACGCCATCTTGGCTCTGAGCGGCCTCGCCGCTGTTCTCGCCAAGTATGAGAGCAACCTGCCCACTGATGGTGACGGCAGCCTGGGGGTGAGACACCGCAGGGTCCTGTTACACACTGTGTTTGCTATTTCATAATCCTATAGATGCTTAGCTCAGTGCTGTTGGACTTGATAGGCTGGACCAGAGTTTGTGGCCACAGGAAGCTGGTTGACCATGGTGCTGGACACCCTGCTCAGCATCAGCAGCAGCAGCTTCAAGGCCACAGGACGAGTCTTCCCCTGGTTTCTACACGTGAGTTTCATCAGCTTTTACATAAGAAGCCGTGATTGGCAGATGATTCGAGTTATTTAAACGCTGTGACAGTTGTTGTGAATAGAAAGTTGCTTTCTTGCATTGATCACCTTCACCCTGTGCCGCCGGCCTCCTCAGCGCTCCTACTCGGGTGAGAACACAGCGAGCACCATAGCGCGCTCCTGTGCAAGCCTCGCCCTGTCGCTGCTCGTCTCCGTGCTCGTGGTGTGGCAGCGGGACAGTCTGACCCACATCCTGTCGGCACTGCGGGCCGGCCTCCCGGGCTCCCCCGCCGCAGACGACTCCCAGGCCATCCAGTTCCACTCCGGGCTCGGTCTGGGCATGGTGCTGTCCACCCTGCTGCACCAGCGCCT